GAAGGAAAGAGAAAAAGAAAAAGAAAAAGAGAGGGAGGGGAGATTTGGTTACCATTTGTCCCTCTCTCCTTCTCTCTCTCTGTGTATCTTTCTCTCTCTGTCGCTGCGGAGGCGACACACTCCTCCTTCCCTCCTCCTTCCATCCCTCCTTCCCTCCATCCCTCCATCCGCCTCCCCGTCTCCAGAGGGGGGGCTTTCTCCGCCTGATGTCATCCGCAGCAGCGGCGCGATCGAACCGGGAGGAGGGAGGACCGCACCGCCACTCCAGCCGCAGCATCCTTCAGAGCATCCTCAGCAGCATCCTCAGCAGCATCCTGGACCACTTTGGTACCCAGGCTGGAAAAAAACCCCAAAGGCTGCTGCGATGATGAAGAAGGAGACCATGTGAAAGGGGGAAAGGAGACCCACCTCTTTCCTCTCCTCTTTCTTGTCCTCTTTTCCTTTCTTCTTCCCTTCCCTCCATCCTTTGGAGAAGAAGGAGGCGCAAGGAGGCGACCATCCCGACCAGGGAAGGATGCTCGCTTCGACCAACCTTGAACCTTTGCCTTCTCCCCTTCTCCTCCTCCTCCTCTTCTACCACCTTCTGCCCAGACCTGTCCTCAGGCGTCCTGGTAACTGGGGACGGAAATCACCCCCAACACCGAGGAAAGGGACCATCGCAGCCAGGAATTAACGCTGTTTGGGGAGGTTTTGCTGCTTTTGGGGGGGGAAGATCGGTGGGCTTTTCTCTCTCCCACCCAGACATGGTCTCTCCTTGAAGTCCCTCAAAGGAGGCTCTTTGTCCTCTTACTTTTGGTCCTTCCTTCCTTCCTTGCTTGGAATCTTAACCCAGTTTTCCAGAAGTTGGAATCGTCTCCTTTCAGACGTTCCAGGAACACGGGACAGGCACAATGGGTGAGTCTCTTGATTCTTCAGGTGGAGATCTATGGGGCTGAGATGGGGCATTGGGGTGAGATGGTGCTGCATCTCTCTTCCCTTTCCCTCCAGCTGGCCTCTACTCCTGGATCGTGGGATTTGGGGGGTTGTGGGAAGGGAAATCCCAGGAGTGAAGAAGGATTTTCCACTAAAAGAGGGAAGAGGAGGATGGTGGGGAAAAAAAATATCAAGTATCATTTTTCCCCATCCCTAGTTCTGCTGGACACAAAAAACCCTAGACCTGTTGGGTGGAAAATCAAGTGTCTTCTTCCCCCATCCCTGGCCCTGAAAAGTTGCTACCCAAAAGGAAGGGGTTGATTCTTTGTTGTAGGTTGAGACAGATGGGACACTTTGTGTATGCTCAAGAGCACTCTTCCCTTAATATCTAATTTCAGGGTAGTTGGTTTTCCACCTTGCAGGGAGCACAACCCTCTAAGAGTCTGAGCCAGACTCTGTTCTGCTACAGTTGTTGTTCTGACTTATGGCGACCCTAAGGCAAGCCTATCGTGGGGTTTTCTTGGCAAGGTTTGTTCAGAGGAGGTTTGCCATTGCCTTCCCCTGAGGCTGAGAGAGTGTGACTTGCCCAAGGTCACCCAGTGGGTTTTATGGCTGAGCTGGGAATCAAATCCTGGTTCCCAAAGTCATAGTCCAATGCTCAAACAACTACATCATGATCTACCCCCTCATTATGTTGTTGTTGTTGTTGTTGTCGTCGTCGTCATCCCACTTCCAAATTGATAGATATGGTCTTCTGGATGGTCCCCAGGTGGAGTGAGTTGTACTCCCTCTTTTCTAAACTTCCCACACAATTATGTTATGTTATTATAATTAATAGGAATGCTCTTGGTGCAGGTCATTTCTTTGAAAAGCAACAACTGTTGTTGTTGTTGTGTGCCTTCAAGTCATTTCTAACTTATGGCAACCCTAAGGCAAACCTGTCATGAGGTTTTCTTGGCAAGGTTTGTTCAGTGGAGGTTTGCCAATGCCTTCCCCTGAGGCTGAGAGAGTGTGACAAGGTCACCCAGGGTTTTTCACGGCCGAGCTGGGAATTGAACCCTGGTCTCCAGAGTTGTAGTCCAACCACTATGCCACACTGTCTCCATAAGGTGTATACAAAATGTAAATGAATGTCATGTTCCCATCTCCAAGATATCTCATTATGTATATGCAAACAGTCCAAAATCTGAAAAACTCTGCAATCCAAAAGACTTCTGGTCCCAGGCATCTTGGATAAGGGAGATGCAACCTGTAAGAAATGTTGTTGTTGTTGTTGTTGTTGATTGCTCTCCTACATCCAAAGCAATGCACATGTTACCTTTGCTGGAGTGAATCACTCCCCTCCCCTTGAATTGAGTTTATTCATTTCACATTGTGTGCAAATCTGGCTGGCCCAAGGTTACACAGTGGACATCATGCTTGCTTGGGAATTCACACCCGGGTCTCTCTGGGGTCAGTCCAACATCTCACCATGTCACTGCATTGTAATGTCCCAATATTGACTGCCCGAGTGTCCTTTTGCAAGCTGAGATGTTTGCAAGCTAGGATGCCATGTCATACACAGAAGGATGGCTGGGAGATGAGGAGTGATTTGCTGCAAAGATTTCCAGATCCTTTTCTTTGAGGTGTGTTCAAGATCGAGGCTGGATCCCAACAGGGAGGGATCCCCACCGAACCCAGCAGGTCTCGCTTCTGGGTAGACAATGTGGAAAGCTTGGGCTGGAAACAAAACAAACCAATGAAATGGGCTTGCACATTAAGTGCGCTTGTTGGGGATTTATAGCATAGAATAATTAATAGGAATGCTCTTGGTGCAGGTCATTTCTTTGAAAAGCAAACAGATGTAAGACTTTGGAGTGGGTGCCAAGGGCAGAGGCTCATTTCAGAGCAATAGATGCTAAATGGGCAGAATCTGCTAAAAGACTTTTATTTATCTGGAGGAAAGAAAGAAATCAGTGACATAAGTTAGGAAAACAAATGCTTCCTAAGAAATTTTCTTATGAGGATAAATGGAAGCTGCTATCCTCCTTTCCTTACGTTGCTGTTGTTGTTGTTGTGTGCCTACAAGTCATTTCCAATTTATAACAACCCTATCATAGGGTCTCTTGAAAGTTTTTTTCAGAGGAGGTTTGCTATTGCCTTCCCCTGAGGCTGAGAGCATGTGACTTGCCTAGGGTCACCCAGTGGGTTTCCATGGCCAAGCTGGGAATTGACCCTTGGTCTTCAGAGTCATAGTCCAGCATCAAACCACTATGCCATGCTATCTCCCTCTCCTTAACCCTCTTCCTATTCGATGCCCCAAATCCTGCTGTTCCTCTTAATTTATTTATGTGATGACATGCCATTTAAGAGAGCATTGGGATTAAATGATAGGATCCAGACCACTGAGTTTCCACTCTCAGCCTCATCTGCAATGTCATGATGGGTTTGGTCCAACTTGCAGGATTGTTGTGAGGCTGTGTATGCAAAGCCCTCTGAGTATTCTTAAGCGTTATTTGAAATGTCAAATCTTGTGCTTTTAAAACAGATGCTATGGGGATGTGTATAGCTATCGGGGGGGGGGCACATTGAGGGCATTGCCCTCAAATAGGAATCCTGACCCCCTCCAAATGATTTCTCACACCCCCTTCAATCCCCAAATTGCTGGCAATGAAAATTGCTCAAACCCAGGACTCATCTATTTGTTGGGTTTGCATTCCCTCCATAACTTGGCCTGCGTCTTTTCTTTGCATGCCCAAACTGTATTTCTAAACACTCAACTCAAGTTTTGAGTTGTGGCAGTAAAAGAAAAATACTGTCCAGGGTGGGCACAATTCTTATTTAATAGTCAATGCCCCCATGTTGCCCCTGCAACAGCTGCATTTCTGGGAGAGGGCAAACATTTTCAAATGCAGCATGCAATAGCTCCTTCGACTGGTCACATAGGGCTTGGGATGGTTTTGAACCAAAATGGATTTGCATCTTGTGTTTTGAACCTGTGAAGCAAAACAAGACTTGGACTAATATGCTTCTGTTGGTTTGTTCAGTGGCTATCAAACCAATGTGAAGGTATTTTGGTTTGGATTGGGTTTTTTGGGTGTGTGTGTGTCAGTTTCTTCATTTCTGGAACAAGCTGAGCAGTCCTTCCAGGAATTTTATCTTCTGTCTTGCTGGCTTGGCAGCTTTTCCTTTTATTGATGCTCTTAGGGCTTTGAAGGGCCATGCAAGAAGCAGCAATCTATCGGCTAAAGATTTCCCCTCTGATGTGAATGCATGCTGCATAAAGCTTTGCTTGGTAGTTTTTGGCCTATAGGAGAATCCTTGAAGAGATCAATCATGATTTTTTAAAAATTAAATAAAACGGCAGAACCACTTTCTCTCACTTTTTGTAAATCCAACGCTCTACCCCTTCCTTGTTGATCACATGGATGCCTCATTCTGAGTTCAGCAGAAGTGGCAGTGAGGCAGGTAGGCTTTCCATGGAGTTCCTTCCAGCAAGGAACTGGTAGTGGTGCCTCTGGAAACCTATCCTGGGGTTTTCTTGGCCAGATTTGTTCAGAGGAGGTTTGCCCTTGCTTTCCTCTGAGGCTGAGAGCATGTGACTTGCCCAAGGTCACCCAATGGGTTCAGCAATGGCGTGCCAACACAGCATTCGGCTTGGTGCATGTGGCTGCCATTATGGTCAATCCACAGCCAGTCTGGCACATAGTCCCACATGTTTTATGTGCCAAAGATCTCTGCTCTCTCCAGAGATGGCTGGCAATGAGCTTATCTGAAACTCTAGGGAGTTGTAGCTTGATAGCTAAGAAAATGACTATTTCTCTTGTCTTGCCCAGTGTTGTCACTTCCTTGAATGGCATCAATACTGCCATGGCTATTAAATATACACATTTGGCACATGTTTTCTTGAGCCAAGAATCTTGATGTGTCAATGCTTAATAAGTTCCAGGTCTTAGCTTGAATTGTCAAGGATCTATTTAAGGTGTTGTTGTTATTGTTGTGGGCCTTCAAGTCATTTCTGACTTATGGCCACCCTAAGGTAACCCTATCAGGGGGTTTTCTGAGGCTGAGAGAGTGTGACCTGCCCAAAGGCACCCAGAGGTTTGCCATGGCCAAGCAGGGATTCGAATCCTGGTCTCCAAAGTCATAGTCCAGTGCTCAAACCACTACATCACAGTGGCCCTGAATCCTATTTCCAAAATAGCTCAGCATTGCGGAAAGCTTTGTTAATGTTCAGACTAAAATCCAGAGGAAATTCAATGCCCCATTTAGATGGGGACCAACAGCATCCACAGGCTGAGAACTGTGTTGTCCTATACACTAATAAGATCAGCTTAAGGACGACTGTGGACAAACTACACAAACTTCACAGTTCCTTTTCATGGGCCATTTTCCTGCTCCCAGACTTCATGCTGCTGCTGACAGTCAAGGAACATATTTTTAAAAAGAGGTATTTTAAATAGGCACAGATTTATTCTATTTTCTTGTAATAGGCAAGCCTTAGCTTGAAGACAGCAATGAAAAGGTACAAAAGCATTGAAAAAGCAACACAAAAGCAAGCGATGAAAAAGCAACACAAAAGCAAGCGATGAAGCTCCAAAGAAATAATAAGAGAAATGCAACCAAACTCCAGCCAAAGCTAAAGTGATCCAATTAGGCTCCTATTGTGATTCTTTGCCTGATCCAGCATCTAAATGTATCGCCAGCCATAGACATAGTCCAATGCTCTTAGGAACTATGACAATACAGGGCACTAACCGACTGTAATTCCCATCAGCCCTAGTAAGTATAGCCTATGGTGCCTTCCCTGATATAGAGACTCCCCAAGACTTATTGCTCTCTTCCTACAACTGGGCTTGTGTCCATCTCATCAGATACTGTAATTAATTAACTAACACAATGAATTAATATAATTAATTAAGTAATTAACTATGATAATTAATTAATATAATTAATTAAGGGATGTAATTAAAGCATCCAGGTAATGAACACATTGATAGCACTCCTTTCTCCCAGTGCAGGATGCAAAGCACCATAAATCAAAACAAGATATTTTGCAGCTAAGATCAAGCAGTTAGAACATTAGAGAACAATTTGGAAAGCAACAACTGAACAAGCAATCCTATTGCAACCAAGCATTGAATGCAATCATTTGAAAATCATACAGAAACATAAAAAGGAGTGAGAGGGAAGTGATTAAAATATATAGAAACACAAAAAGGAGTGGGAGAGAAGTGATTAAAAGGCCCTACTGGTGCAGCCAGTGAATGGTCAAAAGCTTATCCAAACAACAACAACACTGCATGGCATAGTGGTTTAAATGTTGGACTGTGACTCTGGAGACCAGGGTTTGATTCCCTGCTGGGTCATGAAACAAACTGGGTGACCTTGGGCAAATCACATACTCTCAGCCTCAGGGGAAGGCAACGGCGTGACAGCCCAACAGTCTAACCACTATACCACACTGGCTATCTTGCTCATGCATGTGCTTCTTTAATGAAAGTAATTGGATATTTTTGTCCAATGCGCAACATCTGCATTCAGTTCAAGTTCACAGAAGTGGAGTCACATTTCTGGTGCATTCAGTTGAATATTTAGCCATTGCCAGCTGCTCTGAAATTCTCAGGCTGGTTAATTGCTGTTATTTTATCTGCTTTTAGTTTATCTTAACTCTACCATTGTTTTAAAAATAATTTTACAGTTGAATTTTTTGTTGCACCCAGTTGTGCACTCAGATTTTTCATTTGCTTGTGTTTTCAGATGCATATTCCATTGCACAAGGTTGCCATCCGATCCAAGGGTCACGTAGCCCGTGCAATGCACAATGTCATATGCCACATCAAATCTCAGTCTTTTTACCTTCCCAATGTTGACTTCTGGCTTCTTGCTTGGTTATATAGAGCAAGTCATCATCATCATCATCATCATCATCATCATCATTTTTACTTCCTGAGCCCCTAGCCAAGGGGCTAATTAAAATCTGAAAGCCAGGGTAGAGCCTGCAAATAATGAGGGTTGTGGAAATGTTCTTCTCCATCTGTCTGTCTTGGATATGAAGATGTAGGAAGACTGTGGCTGGAATATCTAATTCAACTGAAGCATGTAGCCTAGGCCAAAACAGAAAAGAGTAACCTTGGCTGTCCCTGATCATGTATACAAGTCCAAAGACAGCTTGACAAGATATGCCCTGACATCCTAGGAGGTATTGTCAGCACATTGTGCTAAACTTGTGACAGTTTGTGTTATTAGGAATTCTGGTTGCTTTCAAGAGGTATTATTATTCTTTTCTTTTTTTTCTTTACTCTGATCTTTTTACTTCTTCTTACCTGCGGTGTTCCATCAAAGTACCTGCCCCTTAAACATGACATGAAGATTGTACATTGTGATTTGCCCATGCAACACTGCGAGGTCAAGTCCCACTAAGTGTGAAGGAATGACAGGGGTGCCTGCCATTAGGTGCTGTGGTGCAGGCAATATGAAATGATGTGGGATTCACTGATGTTGCCGATAAGAATACTAAGCTCCTGTTTGCAGGGATGTGAACATTGCTCACTTATTTTCCATTGAAATTTTCCCAGTCTCACTGGCAGTCTCATTCCATTCCATTCCACTTCTATCTCTCTCTCCCCAACTTCTTGCACAGAAATTCATAAATTATTTTGTGTGATTTCCGCCCCCCCACAGGGAGAAAAAAAGGCATGCTTCTAAAATGCTTAATCCAAAATGCACATCATGATGGTACTCCACATCATGCTTATATTTGTGTTGAGCACAAAACAGATTTTTTTTTGGTTGGGGGGGGGGGAGAAAGCTTTTTCTGCATGGAAAATGTCATTTTAGTGCTAAAATATTAATCCCTGTGCAGAAAAATATTGTTTTGGCTTCATTAAAATAAGCTGTAATTGGGAATTTGTTCTCAGTAAAATTCACACCTGGTTGCTTTGCATAGGGAACAGCATTTTCTGTACAGAAATTAATATTTTTGCATGGAGATATTATTTTCCATAGAAAATCTTTGAGTGTTAGACTATGATTCTGGGAGACCTGGCTTCAAATCCCAGATGATCCATGGAAACTCACTGGGTGCCCTTGGGCAAGTAACACTCTCTCAGCCCCAGAGTATGGCAAAAGCAAACCCTGTCTGAAGAATCTTGCCAAGAAACCCCATCATAGGTTTGCCTTAGGGTCATCGTAAGTTGAAAATGACTTCAAGGCACACAACAACATCAACATCATAATCAATAAGTAATTACTTTCCATGAAGAAAATGATGTTTCCTCCATAGAAAATGTTGTTTTCTGCACAATACAAGCAAATGTGAATTTTGTGTAGAATAAGTCTTGAAGTGTGAACAGTCTTCGAAAACAGTG